ATATCCATACACATTTTACTGTATAGTTAATAATAAAAAAAAAAATACATAGTTAACAGATTTTTAATTTCATTGAAACTTTTATTTATTAGTTACCCTATAAATAGTAGCAATCGGTACTGTATATTTTTTTAAGGCATCTATAAGAATTTTCTCATTTCTAGTATTTCGAGAGAATTTAAAAATCAAAATTACAAACGTCTAAAATGCTTGCAAAAATAAAAACACAAAATATATTTGCTTTATCCTTTTATTCTTTTAATTTCGTTATCTATACATATATTCTTAAATATTTCAACATTTTATAGTCCAAGCAGAGTGAGAGAACTATTTTATAGTTATATGCTTTTATACCTCAGAAATATCGAGTTTTGGAATAGAAAAAATCTTCATAAGTTTGTAACGCTTGTTATCGACTTAATTGATTAAAAAATGAACACATTTGATAGTTTTCCAATAGTAATAAAATTATTAGAAAAGTTGAAATTAAATAATATTATAGTTAGGTGCCTGGATTTAACGATTCTTTAGCTGTATATTAAAAACATGGCAATAATCTCACAAAATATATAAAGTACGTTGTTTATTATATATTATTATATTTTAGAGTAGGTAGTTGTTGAATTGGAAACATATACACATTTCATTAATTACTCAGGAGATAATTATGTTTTCAATTTATTGTATGTGCAATATTCATAAGACTAACTTTTTCCTTAAATTAATAAATATATATTTCAATTTTAAAATACATGTGATATCATAAGTTAAAATGTTGAAAGTTTTCTTCCATAGTAAAGTTTGCTTTACAGAAACGCATAGAATGGATTAAAGTCACATTGAAAACTTTATTCAGATAGAAGGTAATAAACGTACCTAATACATGACTGGTTTGAGAAAAATGCAGTCTTCCAATTTGCGTGAATGATATGACTGTTAACTATATTTGACTTGCAAAAAATAATTAGAAAAGTCTTGACTTTTAATATTTGATTGATTTTCAAATAAAAATTATTTATTTTGTTATTTATTAACTCTTTTTGAACTTATTTAATAACATTATACATCATTATTGATTAATGTAATAAACTAATAACACACCATAACAGCTATAGGGTATAGAATATAGATATGTATATCATTTGAAAATAATGTCATACATTTTAAAATATTAGTTTATATTGTATCAATGAAATTATAGTTTATTGATTTATTTTGTTATTTAATTTCTACAAATAGCATAAATAAATTATAAATTAGTGTTATACACATTTTGATGATAAATTGTCTGCTTATTAAATGGTATGAGCTGGACCACGTTCAGTTCAAATAAAAGGATAAATAATTAAAAATACCTTATAGAGTTAAGCACTTGTTTTGCTCACCTTGGCACAGGATCGTAATAATTAGATATGATGTTAGTATTTTAATTAAATGTGTCAACAAATTCTATATTTTTGCAATGTTACAATAAAAATATTACAAATAACTCATAGAGACAATATATTTTTTATTAGTTGTCTGGTACACTGGTATCAGCAGCTTCGTGGTTGTCTAGGAAGATATTTTGAGTTTGCCGTCTTCTTAGTTATTCTTGGGAAATTTTCGCTGGTTTTGAGGTAGAGAGCTCCTTCAGTTTTATTTAGTCTGTCGTGAAAGTTTTTAAATTGATTTGTTATCCACGTTGATAGCAAGGGTAATCCCGTTTCGTTGTGTTTATTTCACATGAACCGAGGAGTTTTTAATGTTATCCTCAATAATTCATTTTGGAAAGTTTTTAGTTTTTGGTTTTTTAATTTTTGTTTAAATTTCAAAAAATTATGAGGGTTCATAGAGGAGAAACACATCATTTTAAAACCAATATTTTTTTAAGAGCTAGCATAAATATTATAAATATTTAGTAGTTATTATTTGCTGATAATAGGTATTGCTGGAGGTATTGACATATTTATTGGAAAATGGATTTATTCTTTTTATTAATAATGCAATTTGTTAAATTTAACCAATTATATCAATAGTATTTTTGTAATTTTCCCTTTAATGAATATTGATTGAAAAATATCTATGGACTATTTTAATATAATATTAATAAGTATAGTATAATTGGTTTTTATAATGTCTGCAAAATTGAATATCTCACGGTTATTCATTTATAATTTTAACAAATCCACATAATGTTGATTATTATTTGGTTTTTAGTTTACACTTTCATATAATTGGTGAATGGAAACTTCTACATAGAAATGAAAATATGAAAATAAGGTTTAAATTAATTAAACGTGTGTTTTATCGAATAACAACTAAAAACTCAATTATTTTCAAGTACCTACCTGTCCCATCTATTATTTATATTTCAATTTCGTTTATAATATACACACTTCAAATTTAATATAAAAGAATTTATAAAAATACGATATCTTATTCTAATATTTATTTAAAATTAGTGTAGTATTATCTATACAAACTGTACATGTTATATGATACTGCACGCATGATATAGTTTCATATATAGAACTTATGTGGGAAGTAATACTAACCCAGTCCCCCCTCAGTCTCAATACCACATAAAAAAAAGGACTTATAGTTATTTGTCGGCCTTTAAGACATTACATTCCTTCAGTTATTTTAATCTTGTTTATATTAGTATGTTCGTTAATCTTAACAATTATTTTTAATTTTAATATATCTATATACGATTTTAAAAATATAAACCTATTATTTACCAGTATTTATTTCTATATATTATGTTAAAAAAAACAATATGATTAAAAATATCACATAAAAAAAATTATATATAAGTAACACATAGAAGAAGTACAACTAATTTATCATCATTGAACAATTTTGTTCTCATAATACTATTACTATGTAATAATCCTTATATTGTCAGATATCGTTTTAACTTTTAAGTGAAGTAGACTTATGATTAAAACTATCAACAATAGTTATATAAATATGGATGGATATTGTTGAGAACATTTGAGAATATTCGAATAGTTTATGTTAGAGCATGTTTTTTCATATAGGTACATAGTTATATATAGATATCTAAAATATTTAAAATTTCACACAATGAACCAAAACTATAATGGAAAAGTCATTATTTTGTTATTAAAATGTTTCTAATAGATAATCTGAATAATTGTAAAAATTAAAAAGCTGAGCCCGGAAACTATATGATTGTTATAATAATGGCAAAGAACAGTTAAAAAAAATTAAATGGGAATTTATTAATACAACATTTATGTTGATACACCAATAGAAAATAAGATTTGGGAATGTAAACAATTATTGTTATTTGAGTTTATGGATTAACTTGCTTCAAAAGCCACATACTTCATCAAAGGGAAATAATTGCATCTAATGTTCAAATCTCGGATTCAAATTTCAATCAACTGTAGTAGACAAAACAGATTACAGTGTAAAATTATCACCAGACTTAAGGAATATGTTTTACAACTAGGGTCTTGTCGTTATTAAGTGGCCAAAAATATTTACATAGTTGTATAGGTGGATATTTATACCTATATATAATATTATATATTATGATAAAAAGGTTATTCAAGTATTCAACACTTATTGGTGTGTTAATTAAAGGGTACCAGAAAATAATATTTCACTCATATATTAGCTAATATATTAGCTATACACTATACAGTACCTAATAAAATGATAATTTATTATAATTAAAATAATAATAATAATAATTGTTATTATTATTATAACTAATATTGCACGATATATATATACCTCCACTGGGAGACTTCTTCACTCTTTTATTTTCATGTCATTATTTATTATCATTTTATAAATTAGGTTTATTGTTTGACTCTTTTACCAGAAGGCCTAATTAATTTTGTTAAAAAATATGTATTCATAGTTATGATGGAAATAAATACCAAATGGGTAGATAGATGCTTTTATGGCGTAAATCATCAATTATCTACAATAATTTTAAACGGAATTTCTTAAAAACTATTTTGAATTTCAACAACACTATAATCACAAATCATATAATATTAAAAAAATCTAGTATCTTAAAACTGATTGAGGTTATAATAATATGTAGGTATTAATATTTGTTAAGTACGTATAGCAATAAACAAAAAATACCTTATAAAAATATTCACTGAATAGTATAAAATGTTTTTTAACATAAACCATCAATGGAGATTAAATGGAGACTAATAGATATATAATAAAAATAATTTTTATATCGTTATGTATTATATATGATATATCATTACAATTTTCATTAAAATATGTTTAACATTAAATTAATTAACTAATTATTCAATACTGAAGACCTTTTATTCCTAAACTGAAATGTTGTTTGGTGCATAAAAATTAACAATTTATTACTATTATTATTGTATTTAACTAAATGTATGTGCGCGTGTGAACAACAATTATTAAAATATAATTAAGAAGTACTTTATTTTTAACTATTAATTAGTATTCATAGATAAAAAACTTTTAATTCGCAATTCTTTTAAAATAAATTACTAATTTTTGTACTTAATTCATACATTTCAAAATCGATATTTTGTTTTTAAAAAAAACTTTTAGCAAAAACAAAATAATTATAGGTATACTTATTATATGTGTATTTAAATTATATAGTAAAGGTAGTTTCTTAATATATTATATCAAAGAAAGATATTTTAAAACAATTATGAAAAAACTCATCTTTTCATTTTTATTTCAAATAACTTTTAAAAATAAAAAAATAACAAAACAGTTTTTTTTTATATATTATATTAATTACTTAATTCGATGTTTTTGTTTTAAATGTTAATAATATGTAAATAACACTGAATCAAATGTTATCATAATATAATTAGTATATTACCTGGCATAATTTTAATAAATGCAAAGTTATATTATATACATCAGTAATCATTAATCAACAATAAATAATTAATACATTTAGGGAAATTTGAATTGTAAAATAAAGTTTATTTCAGATAGCAGAGAAGAGTCATTAACAAATTGTAAAAATGCACAATTTAGCTCATAATGTTCCAGTGTTGAACTCGCCATCATCGTTTGTGTATAATCAATTCGGAACTTATGGAACAACTTATAATCAAGTTTGTCAGGTATGTTCTTGATGATATGTAATTATATTTTATATTTTTTAAATAATAAAATGTATACTATTCGACATACTACCTACGTTTATGACGCATTTGACATTACACTGTTTTCTCACTACTCGGTCGGTATAGATAGTATATTAATTTTGTTAAAGTTGTTTAAGCTTATAATTATGGCATATTATACTATTTCAGTATTGGTTGTAAGTTTTAAATGACTTACTAGATGAACATATTATATCTATCATACTACAATGTGTCTATATATTTTTTTAGTATTTCTGTACTCTTAATATAAAACTATTAGGTATCAACATGTAAAAGGTACAATTTATTTTTATAAACAACATTTAGAAAAAAAATCAATTAAGTATCATCCACTTTAAAATTAGAATAAGATTAGCTAAATCAAATAAAATTCGCATTCTTATAAAAATAAACTATAAAAATAGTTGGCTATTTTCAAATTGAATTCTAAACCAAAACACTTTAAAATAGAATATATAAATATTGTATACTCCTTCAGTCAAGGCTGAAACTGTAAAATCAGTTGTTTCTATCTTGCACACTGAGTAGGTATAATGTAAACCATCTGTCGTACTTTATGGAGTGTGATTACATGGTTAAAATTATGATATTATAATCCTGGTATAAAAATTAACAAGAAAAACATTGTATGCGATTTCCTGGCAACTTTTTTAAATAATTAAACTTCAAAAAGTTAGAAAAAGAAGTAATTTATAACTTTTTAATATTTTAATACTTTAAAATCCCTCGAGTATAGTTTAAAATATAGCATTTATTATTATATTAATATTGTCTCAACATCAATATCCGAGAATTATACGGACAGCGATGATTTTCAATATAAACTGTAGGTACTCCAAGTGAATAATACGGAGTCAACTTGTGTTACCTACTAACTTACTGTTGTATCACATCTTGACTCCTGAGTAAAAAAAAAAAAATATTATAATAAATTAAGACAAATTTAATATGACGTTAGACTAAATTTTAATAAAATTAAACACTTGAAATAAAATTGTTTATATATTTTATGACGTTCCTAATGCAATAATTTTTTTTTATAAACAGTCCTCATTAATAGCGACAGTCCAACCTCCACCGTCCGTGTCTACTTATATTAACTCGATGGTTACCGCTCAAACAATTACAACACCAGTCGTTTCCTCAATCAACAGTAAGGATTCATGTTCTATATTTCATAATTGCATAATATTGATTGCCATTTTTTTATTACCATTACAGCTCAAATTGTGGATAGTCGTAATGTTTTGTCTAATATACCGTCGCCGACCATACCGATGTTTTCAATTAACAGTCGTCCAAACACATCAACCAGGGAACAGCATTCGAACACTAGAACTACCAATCCAATTTTGTATAATAATTCATCTATGCAACAACAGTCATTTTCCACTCGTAAATATTAATTATATTTTTAATTTTTTTTTACAAACCGTTTCAAAATTTAACCATCATAACAGTCATTTAGTTAACCAACTTAATTTTTTAAGAAATACTTTGTATCAAATTTAAAACATGATCGCTAACCATGATAAGTAATGTCGTATAATACCCCTAGGTAGTTTGTTGAGATAATAATATAAAGTTACTATTTTTGAGTAATTATCACCGTTGTGGCAGTGCCTAATGTTTTAATGTGTAGGTACCTAGTCTATGAAGGAAATAGAAGCCTATGAAACATTTAGAGCACTGTTTCTATCATCCAATAATGAATAGGTACATATAATACCATTATTAACAATAAAGTTATGCTGATGCCTGGTTAGTTCAATAGGATTATCTATACAAAATTTATATTAATCATTAAATATGCCTTTTATCCTACATCGTTGTTTTACTTTAGTGCGTATGATTATGATATTATATTAAAGGCGATATTGACATTTAATATTCACATTACGATAACATTTCAAAATATATTTATTATTTATGTATTTGTACATTTCATGATAATTCATCTTGAAAATCTTACAAAAATGATATTAGTAATAAAATATATAAATAAACCTTAAATGTTTATTCTATTTTAAACTTATAATTATCATATATTATTATGGCTTTAGATATGTCAAGCGTTTAGTATTTTATATTTTTTCAAAAAGTTTCAAATTATTTTTAAAAACATATACTTTTATGATAATCTAATAATTTAATAACTGTCATTAGATCGATGAATGACTCTGAAAAGGATTATAAAAAAATATTGCGCCTTCGTGTTTCAATATTCCAGCATAACATGTTAATACCATAATTTGACAAATCTAACAAATAGACCATAATATAATTATAAAAATTATATTATCTTGTCTTTGAATCTAAAATGATTAATAAATATAAGAAAATTCAGAAATAGTTCACTCGTTTGGTAAGCCACTGTTTTTGCCTTCAGGCGAGTCTTTCCAGTGTCAGTATAGGTATTATAAAGATACATCATATAATATATACGGTTTAAGCCAAATGTCTTAGTTTATTTTATTTGAAAATAGTTATAAATGGAATTGGTTTTGAAGTTTTTTCATTTTAGTAGAAAATATAATGGAACAAACGCTGAATATAGTGAATTTGTTTTTTAAGTATATTTTATTTCACATTAAACATAATTTGAATCTTCTATAATTTTTAGAACTATTAGTAATTTATTCAATACTCGTAGAATAGTCATAACATACTTTATGTTAGATAGGTGTACAAATACTTATTTCCAAGTCTAAATACAAAATTCAGCTTCTACCCCTGGAGTCTACAATTTATATTAATAATTTAAAACAAAAGTTGATTGACAAATAAATCTAGCGATTTTTAAATTGAGTAAACTCTGTTTTATTGGATTATTATACATTTTGAGTTTTGACATTCCAAGATTTACTTTTTCATTAATTCTGTGGCTAGACTATCAGACGTGTTAAGCAAGCATTTAAAATCCCCTCTTTTCGTTGACATCCGCAAAATAATAATTGGAAGAGAAGTAAAATATACTTAACGCTTCTGCAGTCAAAAGAGAATATTATATAATTTGTTTATAGTGCAATGATGGTTCTGAATTATTATAGATACTCATGTTGTCGTACATTTAGTTTTCTCTAAATAATTTTCATTTAGTCATTTCCAATCTTTGCCAATCCATATCACATGTGGCTTTATGGGTTGTCAATGGTTATCATAAAATATATTTATCTATAGTATATTATAGGTATACGTCGTAAATAATAAAAATAAATTAAATTTCCATAATACTTTTGTATAAAACCAATGATAATGAATAATGAAAACATAATTTCAAATAGATCATGCTATATTAGCAGAGTCTCTTCAATTATCAATACCAGCGCATCAAAACCGAATAATTTCATCAAACAGAGATCCATCCACGTTTAATAATGTTTCAACACTACATCGTATAGGTATGGTAATCACTAATTATCACATAATAATAATTATTATTTAGAAATTAATCAATGTAATCTAGAAAAATAATTTTGTATAATAACATAATCACTACATTATACACTATAAATTATTTTATAATTATTTTAGTCCCTTACCAAGCGGTATTTAATCAATTTTCAGCTGCAATGCCAAATACTCCTCGTAAGTTTTCTTTTTTGAATCATATTGTAATACAATTGTAGATTTTAATATGTTGTTTTCACATTTTTTTTTTAGGACACAATATCACTTTTGGACCTGAAGGCAGTAATTTGTTTATATACCATTTACCACAAGAGTTTAGTGACAACGAACTCACCCATATGTTTATGCCATTCGGTCAAGTGCTGAGCTCAAAAGTGTACATAGATAGGGAAACAAATCAAAGCAAATGTTTCGGTAAGTACATTTCTAGCGAATTATTTTACGACAGACATTAGTAGTTATTAAAGTTATTGAACATGCGTTTAATTATTACTTAAGTTAAACGGAAAGATTTACCACATAAATATTCAATTAAAAAAAAAAGATTTATACCAACAGATAATTAAAATTTAAAACAATGCATAATTTATTATTTGTTAATTCAAATTTGTTATAGCTTATTATATTAAAAATAAAATGATCATTGACCAAACTGTAAATATGAAATTAAGCATAAATATTTTAACATAATATTATCTTACTACTAAAAATGTTTTTGAACTTTTACAGTTAGTATTGAATAATACATTTTTAAAACATTTTTCGTAACAGGTTTTGTGTCATTCGATAATCCAACAAGTGCACAAACTGCCATTCAAGTAATGAATGGTTTTCAGATCTGCCAGAAGAGATTAAAAGTACAATTAAAACGCCCAAAGGAAAAAAATTCTAGTAGAATTTATTTTTGAATGTGATTGATTTATAAAATTTTAACGATCTTATGTATTTAATTTAATGTATGAAACCAGTCAGTATACCGTAAAATTAATACAAAAATATTATTAAATTCTCTAAGATAAACATTTTTATAAATGCATTAATTTGAGCTAAATTTAAAAATTATAAATAAATAAAATACAGATTTCATTAGGACTATTAATATAAATTATTTCAAAATATCAACTTAACAAAAGGTATCTAATGGGTACACAACAAGTAATTATGTAGGTATATTATGTAACTTAATTTTAATCAAGCCGTTTTTATGGTTTCATACAATCATTGCAAGTGATAGGTAATGATTAGTTTTGTACAGAAACAGAGAAAACTGTTCGTAATATTATAATATTATTCGTGATGCACTCTGCTTTTTTTAAACACACAACAACGAAATTTGTTTCTTTATTTCCAAAATTTAACTAGTTAGGCTATAACTTATATCTTATATCTAGTATAATAGCTACTGAAAAACAAAAATATTAATTCGTATAATAACTAAATACACAATTAAAAATTGTTATTTCACAACTAAGAATTACTTACATTATTCTATAATACTGTATAATGTTAGAATGCGATAAAAAATAAAATACTTCTTTACTAACAAACCATGACAATATCATTAGCAGATTTTCTATGATAAACATAAAGCTATTCGATATGACAATAAAATACCTAGACAATACAACGATTACCTAATTTAAATTAAATCAAAAAATATTGTAGTCCAAAAGGTTATAATAACACGATTTACCGTTTGGGGTGTTTAAATATTTAACCGTGGAATTTCTTTATGCAGTCAAAGGAAATTTAACTAATTTCCTATCCTTAAATAAACCATAAAACAATATTTACATTTTTTTTTTCATTTTTATGATTATTTTCACATTAATGGGCATGGAATTATTAAAATTAAAGTCTGATTCTGAATAAAAAGAGGTTTTTTAAAGTATTAATATAGATATTTATTAGATAATTATATTCAAATTATGACTTAATATTTTAGATGATTTTTGTTCGAAGCAACTTATATGATTTAAACAGAATACTTTTAGTACCTGCCTATTCAATCATATAGACATAAGAATTAAGTAGGTATAAATTAATTTAAACGTACTCATATGATGTAGTTCAAGTTGTATAGTATTTAAAACTATTTTATTTGTGTGAGCATCATACTAATTATATATAACCTAATACTGAAAAACAATAATACATTTGAAAAAAAACAATTTAATAACATTTTAAATAGGTATATAATCAATTATCCATACTTAATTAAATTGAAATACCCATAGGTAATCGATTTAAATATTACCATGAATAAGGCATAATAAATACACAATGTTCTTATAATTGTATATAGATTTGAACTTGGTAAACATTAATAATTTAACAGTATTTTAAACTGCAAACGAAATATAATATAAACGTTAAATTAAATTAAAATTAAAAGGTGTGTTTGGTTTTAAAATTTATATAAGTACCTATACTTAAAATAAAATTACATTTTGTTAATTGATTTAAGTTTATTCTTTCAAAAAAATGCCTATCAATTATCGAATGTCAATATTTATAGGTTGTAATTTGCATTAAATAATATCTACAGTGTACACTCAAACTTTAAGTACTTAGGTACATACGTATACTTGTCCAGAAGGCAAACAAAATTTAAAATGTATTTTAATTTGCAATTATATTTTCCTTATACTGTTATCAACTTTTAATATTCTATTCATATTAATGTATTATGGAACATATTAAAATAACTATAAAATGTCTGCACATCTACATCAGAATAACACAGTGAACCCCCTAACGACATAGATTGATATTTATGAACAAAATTTTTCTATAAGCCCAGATATGCTCAACATATCTACTAAGTACTAATCTATGAAAACATTAATTAATATTGAAGATTTTAACTCACAGGGTATCAACTAATTTAATGTGTCAACTTAATATTTTTGGATTTATTTCAATATTTTTCATGTTCTTTTATTATGATTATGAAATATGAACAGTTATAATATAATAACGTATACTTTTCACAGCAGTAAACAGTAATTATTGTCTTTAATAACTACCTATGAAAAAAGGTCAATGTAATTATTCCCTTACCTCTCTTATCACTTATAAATATTACTTCACAGTTTAAAATTTACAAGGTACCTACTTTCACTGCATCCCTCGTCATTGATTTACTGTAGGCCCGAAAATGTTAAACGGAAACACGTGCAATAATTTTATGGCATATTGTAAAACTTATACTAAACGTATTTATTTAAACTTAAACTTCAAAATATATTCCCATTTTATTAGGTAATTAGTAATTAAACAATGCTATACAATTATAAATTAATGCCACACATTTTAAATCATAATGCTTATAATATTAATATACGTTCATATTATATATATATCAATTGTTCAACATTTTTCTGATTAGATTTGACAGATTTGTGAAGAAGTAGTTCTATAATAAATATTTGTCAATGATACAGTTTGAAACTAAGTAATTTAGTATCACTTCAACGACTAAACTATATTATTCAACTATTGTGTTGAGTTTTGCATTAATAAATTCATTAAAAACTAAGTATTTTAGAGAACAATATACTATTATATTTTATTTTCATCGTTCAAACCAGGATTAATTATTTATCGTAAAACAATATAAACACAATAGTTAATAACTATATTATTTTATCAACACCTATAATATATTCTTGCCGATAAAGATTTATCATGAATATTTTCAACGAAGATCACATAATATGATTTAATCATACCTATAGTTTATATATTTATAATATATGATTTGTTAATCATTTCATTAATCAGCTATACCTTCTTAATAGAAATCATTCTATGTAAACATGATTCAAATAACGATATCATAATAATATTATTAAATTGAAACATATATATATATATATATATAAATATATGCGTATAGGGTATAATTTATAATAATATTTAATATTAGTTGATCCCGCACACTCAGTTGCCCTTAAAAAATGACAACTCTCAAACAAATTGTGATTGTTTAATTCTTTATTTTGGTGTAAATCGTTGGAGTAAGTGCAACTCAGACATCCTAGAAGGCAACCCAACTATGTGCTACAGCATATCAAGTAGGCAATCCACCTACGATGGTCGGTGGATTGCATACACACCAATCAGCCACCTTTGTTGGCAATGTGTAAAAATTCGATTTGATGCATGCTTGTATCTGATCTGCCTGATAAGTGATAACTAATGACAACCAATAAAATAATAAATACTAATTTCTACTAATTATTATTTATTTCTCCTATAACCAATAGTAAATATTTATAAACAAAAATTTCCAAATTCCTGTTTGAGCACCTCCTCGGGTCAAATTATGAATCTAAACCATCCAGGGAACCACTCTAACACTCACAAACAATTTCGTAAAATTCGGCCCAGCTGTTCTCAATTGATTAATTAATATACATATTTCACACCAATTTTATAGATATAGAGAGATTATATAAAAATAATGTACTCGTATAATACGATACAAATTCAAAAGCTACTAATAAATTTCATTATTTCCACTTAACCATACCATGGACTTTGAATCAAATTAATTACTTGGAATATCTACCTTCAATATGTTGTACCTATACGTTAGTAAACAAAATATGAATATATATTTCTTATTTTTTTTTGACTTAACGCTGAACAGAAGTTATAATATAATGTATTTATGTATTAACCAATCATTATCGGAAACTTATATAATGTAAAATTGAAACATTTGAGTAGGTAACAAAAAAAATAATTTAAGTGTATATATTGTAGTGGTTAACTTATTAGTTCTTCATATATCTAATGATAAGTTTAAGAATATAATTTAATTTTTAATAAAATAATCCCAATACTATAATAGTTTAGAGATTACATATATTAAAAACGAATTGTACGATATTGTACGAGTTGTTTTCCGATATTTTATCATAATATTAACAATATTGATTTAATTCGTGATAGGATTATTACACGTTTCAAAAAACATATTTTGAACTAAATGTCAAACTTAGACATTAAATACCAAAATTAAAAATTAAATTAGAAAAATATTTTACATTATACCTACGTATATGGTATATTTATATAGATTGTCTCATTTTACTTCTCGGACAATATTCATATCTACACGCCGATAAAACACACACAAAAGAAAAAAGATCAGGTTACAGGTTGCTTATTGAAACCCAACGGCCGCCTTGTTATATTTAGGTATACAATTTACACGTTTATTTTAATTATTCATAATAACTAATGATTTCTTCACTTTATCGGACTAAATTTATGCCTATGACACTTCCCATGAATGTAGCTTTCTATTGGTGAAAGAATATTTGAAATCGGTCAAGTAGTTTTTGAGTTATTTCGTAAACAAACAAATCTTTCCTCTTTGTATAGTAGTATGTAGATAATAACAAATGTATGATTGAAATAACAGAATATTCAGACAGGCTAAATATAAATTAGTATAGGTACGTTGTACGTAGGTGGTGTCTAATCAAATATTGTTAATTGTTTTGTTGTTTTAATCATTAATCGTTATAGGTATCTACATGTAGCTATAGTAAATTCAAATAAAATAGTATTAAAGAAAATGTGTGACGTAAATTACCATCATCAAAGTTCTGAAAAATCCTATTCAGTAAAACAAAATGTACGTCGTGATATTCATTCAATTGTACCTACATTAAACTAACATCTTTGCTGTTTAAAGGAAATAACTTTTACTGTGATTAATGAACATGTGATTTAATTTTTATCCCAAGAGAGATTTTATTTATTATGTTTTATGTAAATTCAATAAATGTAAGTTCTTAAGTACGATATCATTGTGTTGGATATAAAAATAATCATAAATAGTCTTACAAAAAAAAATATTTTTCTTTTTAATAGTTAAATGTAATTACTC